CACACACACACACACACACACACACACACACACACACACACACACACACACACAGGATGAAAGATGAATAAACCTGGAGGCCTGCATGCTTCAGACTCCTCCTCCTCCCTCCCCTGCCCTCTGCCACACACACCTGGTGGTGTGCCAGCAGCAGATGGGCACCGTGGCACAAATGACACAAAGATGTTTGACAATTTTAATAATAATCACAATAATAATCATAATAATGAAAGTGTGAATTGGAACAATAAAACAAAGGGAACAGCTGTAAGCGATCAAAGAGGTGCCTTTGCGAGTTCTCACAGAAACACGATGAAGATGTGCTTTAAAGGGGGGGGGGTTACAGTAGTAACCACTGTATGGCGAGTGACCTGAAAGCATCATTAATACAGCGAAGTTGAGCCGAAGCTCCGGCTGGCAGACGTCCAGACAGCAGAGCACCGGCCCCCGGCATTCAAATGCAAGAAGTAAACACAGAGCAGCTTCATTACTGCCAGAAATCTAATCAGCAAGGATACAAATCAACCAGGAGCAGCTGCAGAGTGCTGCCAGCGCCCTCCACAGGCTGCACACGTCAGTGCAGCAGTGCCTCTCAGACAGAGCCCATCAACACCATGTTTCAGCTGTCATCTCATTTATGATTAACCATTAACATCTCAGAGGTTCACCCACAGCCTCAGTGAGCACATGCAGCAGATTATCCATGATTGGCTGCTTTTATATCCTTATCTCTTTTTATTCTTGAAAAAATCAGCTTTTCACTGAATTTCCCAGAGGAACCTACCCGAGGGATTATTAAAGTTCTATTTTTATTCTTAATATTAGATGGTACACCATGCTTTGTGTCTACTGATTATCTTTATTTTTACCACTTTGGACAGTTTCAGTTCAGTTCAGCTTTATTTATATTGCACCAACAACAGTCGCCTCACGGCTCTTCATATCGTAGGGTAAATATCCTACAATGACACAGAGAAACCCCAACAACAGACAACCCCCTATAAGCAAGCTTGGGAGACAGCTGGAAAGAAAAACTCCCTTTTAACAGGAAAAAACCTGGCGGAGCCAGGCTCAGTGAGGGGCGGCCATCTGAGAGACCAGTTAGGTTTACTACTATCACAAGGGCTTATCCATTATTTTTAACAGTTTATGCAACTAGTAAAGGAGTCTAGGACTTGCTTATGATGGCTGTTTTAACATCAATGATTGTTGGCGATCTCCATGTTACCATGGAGATGTTTAAAATGTCTAAACATGAGTTAGCTTAGTGAGCGCGAAGCTTCAGAAAGCAAGTGAACAAAGTGGTGTACGATATAACATGTTCTCAAGGTTTTCAGCAAGACTGCGATAACGAAAATAATCGAGTCTATAGGGGAGTTTGGGATTTGCAGTGCATTATGGGATGAGTAGTTCCTTCACAGTTAAGTCACTCTCCACACGGTTTGGTAGCTTTGCCTTTTTCAACTCAAGACTGGCTTCACTGAAAGCTTCACACTCTTTATGAGTTTGTAAAACCTCAGAGGAGAAGTGAACAAGAAGTTTCCGTCCAAAACTGGAGTCATAAAAAAGTGAACGACAATTATTAAATTACAGGGTAAGTTTACTTGTCCTCAGACGTAAAAACACAGAACAGGTCGACTGTTCGTTACGAGCCGCGGCAGTCACAGGAAACTTGTACATTCTTTATTTTTCAGTTTTTAAATTATCTTTGTTTTTACTTCCTGCTCCCATGGGAAAGGAGTTTAAAACGTCCACACACGAATGACCAACTCTCTGTGTGTGTGGGTCTGTATGTGTATATGTGTAGGTGTGTGTGTGTGTGCATGTGTGCGTGTCTCAGGTCAGCCCTATCTCTGCAGGGCAGAGAGAGAGAGAGAGTGATAGATAGGTGGAGCGAGATCACGGTGCTGAGCTCAGCAGAAAACTCCCCACCAGGTCCTGTCAGTCCTCCCCCTCCCTCCTCCTTCTCCTTTCATCCCATCACACCATCATGCTATCTGTCAATAAAACGATGAAGAGTAGGGATGAGGGTGTGGGGGGGGCTGGAGGCGAGGGGGTAGATGGATGTCCGGTTTTGAAGCTGATTGCTGCCTTTGTTCAGCAGGATTTTCAAATTGAAGCATTTGACAACAAAGAGCCGGATCGCTCCCTCGCTCCCTCCCTCCCTGCTTTAACACGGAGAGCCTCGCAGGGCTTTGTGGAAGAGCTTCTGTCCCCCGAGAATAGGATGGGGGGGGGCAGCAGAACATGAACACATCAGAGAGGAAGAGGGCCACAGCTTGTTGTTGTTGGTAGATGCTAATGTTGCGTGCTAACTGCTCTCATATACAATGATGACATAAACTCCTGTTGTGAGCTAATATTGAATATGTAAACAGAGACAAGCGGTGCTCGGCTGCTCGTCAGGCTGTTTGTTGGGAGCAGTGGCTTTAGAGTCTCATTTATAAAAGGGACTCATTTTTGTCTTTTTTTAAGGAGGGCAGTAATTTTATCACCTCCTGAGCCAATTCATCCGCCCGCCAGATTAGTCCTGACGATCCTCTGACCGTCAGAGGAGACGTTAACAGCTCTGAGCTGAACAGAGTCCCACTACTGCACACACAGGTGGGGCAATTTTAAATGCATACACCTGTGCACTTACTGGAGTGTTTAACGAGGAGCTAAACAACAACACCTGTCCGCACACAATCCCTGCATCATGCGCTTCAGGGTGAGCTCAGAAAACGTTCCCTGGAAGCTGCAGGAGGATCATATGTCGAAGCTAATTTGCTGGTTCTGCTCGGCCAGAAAATCCCAGTGACTGATGCAAACACACAGTCACTCAGAATTTCTCCTTAAAATATTCTCCCAGGTCATTGGTGCTTTAACGTGGAGTTAATCAGGCTGTTCAATCAGTTGTGTTTTTGAAACGCAGGAATATTCACACGAGACATCTAGCGGGACGATAAGTGAAACTTATTTTCAAGGTCTGTCCCTCTCTTGTCCTTCACCTCCATCGGCACCATCTCTCCGTCACTTTACAGTTTTTGTTTTAGAAGTGCAGATTAAGCACAGAGGTTTCTGTTGGTCTAGTTTCCAGGGGACAGGAGGTCCAGGATATAGCCTAACCCCGTCACTGGAAGAATGTGATAAAACTTATGTTATGCTTGTGGCGTGACGGGCGGTCAGATGTCCAGTGACGTGTTGTGTTGCAGCATCTCTTCAGGCAGGAGGAAACACATTTAATAAGAGTCAACCTTTACTTTTTAAATGTGCACTTTGGATGATTAGAAGCTTTAGTCTTCTTTTCTCGTGTGCAGCAGCTTTATGAGACAGTAACTGCTGCCGCAGCAGGCTTTCATTGGAGTGTCCGTACTCCCATGAAGTCTCCTTCACTGCTGGAAGTTTCTTGTCTCCTTTAAGGAAACCTGAAAGTGTCAGTGAGGAGCTTTCACAGCTTGTCCTCCTGATTTTTATAAACATGTTTAATGCACCTTGTTCAGCCTCCAGGTGTGTGTGTGTGTGTGTGTGTGTATGTTCACTGGTTATATAAAAATGTCACCGTATCCGTACTGACACTCTCTGTCTGTCTGTCCGTCCATCAGCGCCCATCGCAGCCGGCACCGGGCCAAACTTCTCGCTGGCCGACCTCGACAGCTCCTCCTACTACAGCATGAGCCCAGGAGCCATGAGGAGACCACTGCCCAGTACCTCCTCCTCCAGGTACACACCAGCACACTCAGCACCTCCTCCTGTTGTTCATGTGACAATTTATCAGTTTTAATGACTGCAGTCAATCAATCGATTGACTAAGGTCAAAGTGTTTCTCAAAGAGGGAAACATGCGCGTCATAGAAAACTCTAAACAATGATCCAATAAGTGCTTTTGTAAAATAGAAGAAGTAGAAAACTGATTCTATAATATTTCATGGAGCACCTGTAATAAAATAAATGGGACGCAGAGTCTGTGCAGTGACTCGCAGCACCTGCGCCCTGTTTAAATAACCTTTGTTGAGCTGTCAGCGGACAGAACGGTGAGGCGTCAGTGCTGAGTGTGAGCGCCACCTAGTGGCCCGTGGACTGACCTTTCAGCGATGCTGGAGAAGTCGCTTCATCATTGGCCGATGTTCCCAAACCAGAACTCGAGATGGCTTCATTTAGTTTTTTACTTCCAAACATTCAAATCCAGATGGTTTATGTTCCAGCCATACAGTGCTCAGAGGACACACAAACAACAAAGAGTTGGTTGGATTTGTGAAATGAAATGACTGCAATGGACAGATGCAAGGATGACGACGGTCACACCCTCGTGCAGTGCACTGGATGGATGCTGTATCACAGACACGATAGGACAGCTGTCAGTATTTCACTAACTCACCTGCAGGGTGTGTAGAGTGTAGAGGCTACGGCAGCTTTGGTCTGTGCATGAACACTAACTGTTTGTTCCTAATGTGGCTTAATGTATGTCTGACAAACACACACACACACACACAACACACACACACACACACACACACACACACACACACACACACACACAGGAGTACGTCGATTGTTCTGTCTGACAACCCTAAACAGCCCTTAGAACACATGTGTCAAAGTCAAGGCCCGCGGGCCACATCCGGCATTTATATCTGGCCCGCGAGATCATTTTATATAGATATATTATTATTGTTATGCATGGCCCGGCGATAGGAGGTGCTAATAATATACAAACAACAGATCCCATAATGCAGCGCTGCAGCCTCCTTGCCGAACGCTAGGCTATTTGGGAACATTCCCGCGTCAATCAAGTCAAACTTCTGTTATTGCGAAGCTAGCCGCTCACAATGGTGGAGAGAAAAGTTGACTCTGAAAGCAGAGCCTTTCAGCGCCAGTGGGTGACTGAATATATGTTTACAGACATTGCTAGTAAACCCGTGTGTCTTATTAGTGTTGCTAATGTGGCTGTAATTAAGGAATTTAATTTAAGACGGCACTACGAGACAAAACATCAGGATAAGCTGAAAAACCTAAATGCAGAGAAGAAACTACAGAAAGTAGAAGAGCTAAAGAGGAATCTGACATTTCAGCAGACTTGTTTTCACCAGAGCAAAATCACAAAGTGAAGCTGTTGTGAAAGCAAGTTTTATTGTAGCAAATCAGCCCAGTACCACTGTAAAGAGCTGCATGATGAAGGTGTGCGACGTCTTGTGTCCAGACAAAATGCAGATTTTGGCAAATGTGAGCCTGAGGAGAAAAACGATTGCTGATGGGGTTTGTGAGATGGCCACTGATTTAAGAACACAGTTGTGTGAAAAAAGCAGAAACTTTATCGCATACTCTCTTGCTGTGGATGAAAGTATAGACATGGTGGACATTGCACAGCTGGCCATCTTCATCCGTGGAGAGGAAATATTGAACATTAAATCGATGCACGGGACAATGACAGGAAAAGACATTTTTTAAAACGTATGTCAAAGTGTAACAAACTTGTTGGACTTACAACAGATGGAGCGCCGGTGTTGTGCAGTGAAAAAAGCGGACTACTCAGCAGGATGCGAGTAAAGATGCAGGAGGAGAACTGTACTGGTGGGTTAACAGCATATCACTGCATCACACACCAGGAAAGGCTGTGTGGTAAAATGGAGCATGTAATGATCACCGTAACGCAAACCGTAAATTTTATCCAAGCTTAAAGGTTTAAATTACCGTCAATTTCAGTCTTTTATGTGGGAAATAGATTCAGAGTTTGCCGACATGCCATCATACAGAGGTCCTTTGGCTGAGTTGGGGAAAAGTTCTCAATAGAGTTTTTGAGCTCAGCAAGGAAACCTGTCAGTTCATGGACATGGCATGTATGATGCGGTGAAGGCATTTCAAGTGAAGCTGTCACAAATGCACCAGTGCAACCTGCCTCACTTTCCCTGTTGCCAAGTAATGTTGAACCAAGTCAGCGCACTTTGCTGAACTGCACCTGTGCAGATTCAGATGGAGCTGCAGTGTAATGATACACTCAAGGCAAAGGTACGACACTGAATGGCCCGCACAGTTTATTAGTTTCCACTCCTGAAGCAATGCCCATCTACATGCGGCTCCAACCTTGTGTTTGCTTTCATTTATTTTTTCTGGGGTTTTGGCAGCATGTTCATATTTCTAACTTGCATAATTTTGACAGGATATATTTTTATGAAGAGCAAAATATTTAAAGTTAAAGTTTATTTTTTTAAGTTTATTTAATCTGGAATAATATTCCTGTCTGTTTTTATTCATATTTATGTTTAAAAAACATTGTTTTAGTGTGTTCAATAAATGTTTATCTTGTTTGGCCCGCGACCTAAAGTGTGCCTTGAGTTTTGGCCCCCTGTGCAATTGAGTTTGACACCCCTGCCTTAGAAGGTACTCACAACTCACTGATATCCTCACAGTGATGGTTTAAACTCAAATGATTATACAAACACTCTCTCTCTCTCTCTCTCTCTCTCTCACTCACACACACACACACACTCTCTCACACACATATGCTTGCAGGGTTTGCCCTGACCTCTTCTCTTAAATCGATGCGGTCGCAAAAGTCGTCTGTCTGCTGAAATACCTGCCCTGCAGCGCACACGCACGCACGCACGCACACACACAGACAGTTAGCTGAGTGTGTGTGTGTGTCCTCTGTCTTCTACACCCTCTCCCCCTCTCTCCTCTCTGACTCCAAACACATCTCCAGAGACCTCCCACACACACACATTACCACACACACACACACGCACACACACACACACACACACACACACACAGAGATCGCTGTGAGGCAGTGAAGCAGATCCATATGGAAATATTTAAGTCTTTACTAATGTCAAAGACCCTCCATTCATACAAACACATCTCAGTGTACAGGCAGGTCACACACACACACACACACACACACTGTTAATGTTTTAACTTCCTGTTAAACAAACAGATCTGGCCAGTGAGGTGTAAACCTGCTGTCTGTGAGTCGTTGCTCTCATTTCTTAGGCTTAAACCTTAAAGTAAAGCAAACAGAAAATGTGTGAAATGCATAAATAACTGCACAAGTACACAAAGACTACAGCTGGGTTTGGAGGGTAAAGGAGGACATGTAAATTTATGTCTTACAGAAAGGTATGAATTCAGACTTTGTCCTTCCTTTTCTTCCTGTCAGGGATGCTCTGGTTTATCCAGTGTGAGCATCCATCAGATGCTGCTGTAAGTCGATGCCTGAGAGTCATTTAGTCCACGGGACGTGTACAGTTTGATCTCATGTCAACCCTCCTCACTGCTCTTTTCTTTTTACCATAAAACGCCACATTGTCAAAGTTCACATGGAGTCAGCCAATCAGTGATGTCAACAAATGAGCACTGGACTCCAGTGAAAGCAAAAATGGCCTCCATGGAAAAGTTCAAGGAAAACACCACTGCTAGCCAAGAAGATCACAAAAGCAAACTGCAAACAAACATCTGGATGATCCCCGAGACTTCTGGGAAATCTTCTGTAGACTGACAAGACAGAAGCTGAACTTTGTGGAAGGTTTCAGTCCCATTACATCTGCATCAAACTAACAGCTTTGTTCCCTTAATGAATGAAATCATCATTTAAAACCTGCACTCTGCATTTACTCAGGTTCTCTTTATTTGATGATCTGAAACATGTGAGTGTGACCAATATGTGGGGAAAAAAAGAAATAAGGGAGGGGCAGGTAGGTGAGATTGAACAGTTGGATGTGTGGGAGGGAGCCTGATGTGCTGGTCTCGGGTTTGGGTGGGACTTCAAACAGCTGATAGCAGGAATCAGAGGGGTCTGTGTGGGTGTTTAGGACTCCACCTGTTCTCCGTTTGAGCTCTGAGCTGGAGAACAGCGGGGTTAATAATTAATATCGACAGATTGCTACAAAAAAGGTGGACGTCAAGTAGGGCTGCACGATTAATCGTTAGAAAATCGCGATCTCAATTCATACTTATGTGCGATCTCATTTCCAAATGACAACGATTTAAAAAAAAAAAAAAAGACGACGACGATTGTACCGCATTTTGATCCGGGACGTAATCTGCATGAAAACAAGCGCTCACTCTTCCTGCTCAACAAATGACAAGGGCGGAGCCTTATACCACGTGATACAGAAGCTGTGCCGTGTGATGCTAAAATTAGCAGGGAAAAAACAACGGAGAGCACGTCAGGGATGACGAGAAAGTGACAGGAGAAAATCCGTCCCGGTCAACCACCCAAACATCAATAACGAGAAAAAAAAAATTTTTTTTTTTTTAAAAAAAAAAAAAAAAAAAAAAAAAAAAAAAAAATTTAGAAAGGAAAAAGAAAAAGAAAATTAAAAAAAAAATATTGTTTTTTTATTTAAAAAAAATTTTTCTTATTAAAAAAAGTGAAAAACACCCAAACATCAATAACGGGAACCTTATACAGCGCTTCCCTATACCCGTCGAACTCCCGCAGGCACAAAGAAATTACGGAGGCTATTACTTATCACCTGACCAAAGATATGGCTCCCATCAACACTGTGCAAAACGAGGGATTTAGGAAAATGATCAACACCCTAGACAAACGCTACACAGTGCCGTCCCGCAACTATTTTTCTATTGTTGCACTACCTGCTCTATACACGCAGTGTCGAGCAACGGTGGAGACGGAATTTCAAGCAGTACAACATTTTGCGGCAACAACAAAACGTGAGACATTTGTTGTTTTTATGTTTATTTATTGTTTTTATGTTCAGTCTC